CCCCCTCAGCCGTGACCGCGGGCCGCCGCCGCCGCGCTGGCTGGAAATGGCGTTACCGCTACCGGCAGCGCGGGTTTCCCCAAAAACTGCCCTCCTGCAGGAAAGCCTACAGCCTCCTCACCGCCCGGGACTCACCGCCTTTTTTTGTACAGCCAGATACCTGCTTAGTTCAATTAAACATAGAAACAGACCTAAATTCTTTTTCTATGAAGAAAGCACAGTGGCTGAGTGAACACGAAAGCATGCACTCCAGGCACGGCTCTCGCAGTCGCCTTTTCATGCTCCGTGCTTGTCTGAAAAAGCGGTGTTTGAAAGGTAGGGAAGCTGCAACTGCATACTTTCAGTAGGTGGTAGCTAATATATATATATATACTCGTGTTACCGTTGTGAACAGCAGCATGCGCTTCTTTCCTGTGTAATGAGATAAAAGTAGATCTAAGTGCATCTGGGTTTTTTAAGGCTTGCATAAAACTATTACTAAAGCAGAGGCATTTTCAGCCATTAACTAAGTACGGCTCCCTTATTTCAGCAGAGCCAGAACAGGTTTTGCAAGGCCAGCGATGATAAAGCTTTTCACACAACCAAAGCCCAATACGTGTCTGGAGATTATCAGTCATGAGGATTTCGAACACCAATTGAGCTGTCCTGAAACCCAGGGGCATGAATGCTTTATCTTAAAAACCAAAACAAGCACGGCAGCACCAGGGGACAGGAGGACACTGTTTAGGAAGTGTACCCTGTGGTGATGTAGTTGCTGCAAGGTATGTGTCTAAGTATGCGAAGTTACAGCAAAAGGGACTGGCAGAAAGGGACTACAGGCAGGAAGCAAAACAGCAACTAGTCAGAGCATACGCTTTGGAAAAAAACCTAACACTTAAATTACGGGGACCGTGCATGGCTGGATTGTTAAATTGCCTGTTACATGTTCTTCAGAGTTAAAGGATGGCTGTCGCTAAGGCTCACCAGGCACAAACGCGGTAGATTACACCTGGAAGAGAAAAGCGACTGTCAGGCTGATCATGGAACCCAGAGACAGCAGCAAGTCTTGAACCTGCATCAAGCCTGCTGTGCGTCAGCTGTGTCTAGCCCAGAGCTGTAACCTAAATCCTGGATGTGAGACGGGAAGTGCTTGATGCTATCCCAAGACAGGTTACAGGGCACGACATCTCCAAGGGGACATTCAGATGTAGTCAAGTAAAAGAAAGGATCCAGACCTTGGACCAGACCAAAGGAGAACACAGAAACACGGACATCTTTTCCAGCAGCTCAGCTGTTCGCCTGACACTTCTGTATGTCTAGTCATCAGCTCTCTACCCGATAGCAGTTTTACCAAGGAACTTAGTGAACTGGGAGGAGAGGTCTGCTTGTTTTTGTCAGTGAAACGCTTTTGTAAGTGAACAGTATTGTTACTTAACCTCTCTCCTTGGACCTTCACATGCTGTGCACCTACCGGTAACAGTGGAGATGGTTTGGTATGCCACTTATGTTCTTCATATTCTAGTGAAAAGAGGACGCACTCAGAAATCACACCAAACTACTCCTCTGTTACTAGGAGAAGCGTTATCCTTCTCTGCAATATGCATAAACACCAACATAATAAAATAAATATATTTAGCAAAATGAAACAAGAAAAAAAAAAAAACACAGCAACGTGGAAGAGATACACAGTAGAAGAATCTGCAGTCCTGGGTACGCAGAG